GGTAGCCAAGACGTAAACAGGCCCGCTTGACTACTGATAACGGGTGCCTGAAAAGACACTGACATTTGGGGCCAATAAGAAGACAACAGAGATGAGAAAAGGGGAAGGCAGTGAGCAGTCCTTTGAAAAATAATATGATTCTTTGAAAAAAGCAGTGCAATTGTTAGAGGTGCTCTGGGCTGCAATTAATGGAGGTGTAGACAAAAAAGACATTTCATGGGCACCTGAGTGGCTCGGTTGGTTAAGCAACTGCCTTCGGCTCAGGTGATGATCCTGGAGTCTCAGGATCGAGTCCTGCATCGGGCTCCCTGCTCAGCGGGGAGTCTGCTTCTGCGTCTGACCCCTCCCCCTCTCATGTTCTCTCTCTCATTCTCTCTCTCTCTCTCTCAGATAAATAAATAAAATCTTTTTTAAAAATCTAAAAAAAGGCATTTCATTCTCACACAGAAGAAGTCTGAGGGCAATGGGCAGTTCTAGGAACAATTAACTATCCGGTGACGTTATTCATGGATGTATCTGATGATGTTCAAAGACGGACTAGGTAAGTGCCTCTGAGATCCTCTTAATTTTTTCCTCAGAGTCTCAAACAAAGGCGGCAGCAGCTCCACTCCTCACATGAAAGCATCCAAAAAAGGAAGACCTTCTCTCACCACCTTTGTTAAGGAGAAAACTATTTCCAAGAAGCCTCTGAGCCAACCTCCTGCATGTCAGAACGTCATCCCTGGTCACCCTTCACCACCGGGAAGCTGGGAAAATAAGTATCCCACCATATGATTTAATACAGTCACATATTAGCTCTCTAACTCTCTCATCAACTCCAGCTGACTTGACCTAAGTCACTATCAATCCTGTCCACCTCTCTTCATCGCCACTGCTGATAACCGATGAGGTTTATTGGGTGTGTGCTACGTGCGTGCAAGGCATTATTCCACGCACTTCACAATTACTAACTCGCTTAAGCCTTCCAACAACCCTATGAAGTGGATTACGCTAATTATTTTATACATTAGGAAACTGGGAAATAGAAATGTTAAGTAACTTCATCAAATTCACATACATACGTGACAGAAGCATTCTTAAGAATTCATATCTTACCTAAAACTAATGTAACACTGTGTATCAACCATACTCAAGAAAAAAAGGTACAAAAAGAAATTTGTATCTTAATTGGCACACTACACTGCCTCTTTTTTTAAATATTTTATTTGAGAGTGAGAGAGAGCTCGTAGAGAGAGAGCACGAGTTGGGGGGAGGGGCAGAGGGAGAGGGAGAAGTGGACTCCCTGCTGAGCGGGGCTCAATCCCAGGAGCCTGGGATCATGACCGGAGCTGAAGACAAGTCTCAACTTCCCCACCTGTAAGTGGGAATAACGACACGATGGGATACTAAATATGATGTGCTAGGGAACCTGTCAACAAACCCTCATTAGAATCTTTCTTCCCAGATGCATCTTTGTGTCCCATTGGGCCAATGACATGAGCTGGGAGGCTTCACAGCTGAGATCTGGTGGCCTCCCCACTTCTCACATAGTGCCTCGCAGGCCACGGCATTCTTCTCCACTTGTTGGTCTGCATGATGCCACCATGTGGAAATATGCGAAAAATACTAGAGTGAGTAAGAGGTTAAGGGTTTGCTAGTGATGTGGGAAACTAAAGGCAGAAGGAAACGTAGATAAAATTAAATGTCCTTATAACCTGCAGCCCACTGACAGATACTTGAGATAGGCAGATTATAATATTCCTCCAGGATCCTGGGTCTTCTTTAGCAGATCAAAGTCTGTTTGGAACTTCTCTTATCTTTACTTCTCCCAACCCCAAGGTTTATAATCACTTGCTCCTCACAACCCCGGAGCAGCAGAGAACAGCAGGTAAAAACTCTCTCTGGCCACGGGTCTTGTCCCTGTGCTTTAACAAAAGCACCATTTTGCACCAAGATATCTCAAGAATCCCTTCTTGGCTGTTGGTCTGGACCTCACCCTACCAACACCAACACACAAACATTCAAAAACTACATCACTAGGAGCAGAGGGAAAGAAGGCGACAGAATAAATATGGCATGTGTTAGGTATCCACTAAGTGCCAGGCATTTTCATATATTATCTCATTTAATACTTAGCAAAAGAAAATCTGATTCTACAAATGAGGAAACGGAGGTTCAGACAGGTTAAGTGTCTCACTCATGGTCTCAGAGAAAGTAAGTGGTGGAGACCAAACTTGAACCCAACTCTCTGGTTTCTCCATAGGACTTGCTCCTGCCACCCCAGGACACTACCCCCAAAATGATTCTCTTCCTCGCGCTTGCTTCCAGGTAAGTGTGCATTAAAAGACCCAAGGCTTCTTTTAGGCAAGTTTAAGGTCAACCTGATCCTGTTCTAGGTGGGAAGAATTGGCTATTGAGTAGTATGGGAGCATACAGCATCTCAAAATTTCATTAAATATCTGCAAATAAATTACACATGCTAGAGTCTTCCTTTTAAAAAGGTACATGCCACTCAAGTAGAAAAACTAACTCTGAATTCAAAATGCCCCATACTAAAAGGTTGACTAGAGAATTTTTTTTAATTAACCTAATTTTGAATGAGCTTTAATTAATGAATTAAAAGTAGTCATTATCATACTCTGGGTCTAAATGAAGTTACATGACATGAAAGCTGAGGTCTAAAAGGAGAGGGAAGACAGAGGAAGTCATTCTCCCCTCTCTCACATTCAACCCTAGACATGAGCTCGAAACGAAGAACTAGTTCCCAAGATCCCATAGAACTGGTTCCAACACACAACCCATACACTGTGGTTACCCAAAATGTAATCCACCTACTGCCTGCCTCCAAATCTCCTGGGACCTTGGCTGGAATGCCATTTCCGGGGCCTGCTCCAGGCATATAAATTCACATTCTCTGAGGATGACTCCCAGGAACGAGCACTTTAACAGACACCCCCTAGATGTTTCTGATCATCCCAAAGAGTGCGAAGAACAGCTTTAGGAGCTCAGTAAAAATGTAAACGTCACGATGACTCCACATATTTATTTTACGGGGAGTTAATTTGGTATAAGAAACTTGACTTTTTTTTTTAAGATTTTATTTATTTGACAGAGAGAGCACAAGTAGAGGGAGAGAGAGGGAGAAGCAGGCTCCCTGCTGAGCAAGGAGCCCGATGTGGGACTCGATCCCAGGACCCTGGGATCATGACCCGGGCCGAAGGCAGCTGCTTTACCGACTGAGCCACCCAGGAGTCCCTGAACCTTGACATTTTTTGAATAAATATTATCCCAGCAACTATAAAGGCAAAGCATTCCCACTTTCAAAATGGGGGAAATCAAATCTTGAAATATATACGGCACATTCTCCCCTTACACGTAGTCCACAATCAACTGCCTTGCAGCTAGAAGAGAAATCAACAGTTACCACCAATTCACTGATTAGGATGTTTCACAAGGCACTTGATTAACTCACCTTTGTATTCAATTCCTAGTTAATTTTATCTTGTGAGGGAATGGCATTTTTCTAAATTTTTAACTTCAGTATGCTCCTTAGTGGAGAACAGACTCCCTGAGTCAACGGTTTCCTTCTTCTGTACAACCCCCAGAAGAGGTAATTTTTTTTTTTTTTTAGATAAATTATTTCCTTCTCTGACTCCTCTCTACTGGTTGAAGACAGTCTTCAAACCCACCCTCTTGCCTGCTAGCTTACCAATTAAAGTTCCGGATATGGGCAATTAATTTTTAAAAAGAAACCCAAGAGTTGAACAGCTCCTTGTGATTAGGCAAGCTCCTCTTTATCCCTCCCCAGTTTAGAGGTCTCTGTTCCGTTGTTTCTTGGGACTTGCCCCAAGCTTAAGGGTTCCTCCAAACTTGAGGGTCAAGGACACAAGGCAATAATTAAACAGTCTCCCCATCTGGGGGAGCTCTGACAGTTCCATCACCTTGGAAAACAGCAGCAGGCTCCCTGAATATGCACAGAGAGAATAAATTTTATGCACCATAAGAAAACAGGGTTCACTTATCCCCAAATGTAAGAGTCACGATTCAAAACTGTCACTGACTGGGAAGCATCTTTAGTCAGGAATAGTATCTTCAAGCTGACAAGTCACAAATAGGTGTACTTTTGCTAACCAGACTGGTAGTTGGGAAAAAGCTCAAAAATATCCCATCCTCATCTTTATTTTTTTCTGCTAAAAATGGAATGGCTTCCACTTACCAAACTAGCCAAGCCACTGCTGATGGAGGTACCACCTCCGGCACGGGGCGTATGCACAGTAAATATTAGACATCAGGTTACCTAGGTCGTTTGTAGAAATCCCGATTTTGGAAAAAGAAATATAGAAGATACACTCATAGAAGACATTTTGAGCCTTAAAATGGAACTGCTTGCTTTGATGCAAATGGGCAAATGGCTATGGGGAGGCAGGGGGGGGACATGGATAATTTCTCTCAGACTATCCTTTCTAGTATTATAAGTTATCTAGTTGGAGTCGTTGGTACATTGTCTGTTGAGCGAGCAAGTGAATGAAATCAGTTCTTTGCTTATTATGTGCGCTGAAAAGGGCTAACCAACATTAACCAAGTGACCCCTCCTCTCTTGTTTCTTCCACAATAAATTCAATCAAATTTACGGAGCGCCTAGCCTGTGCCAGGCACTGTGCCAGGCGCCGGAGATACAAAGATGAATGAAGCAAAGTTCAGGTTTCTTAACGATTTCTTAAGATTTGCGAGGGCATAGCCCCGCTCCCCCTTCCACTGCAGCCTGGACGGCTGCTAACCAGTCGTGGGAGTGCGTACTCTACAGCTCCCTGCTTCTGGGAGCGCGTTACTCCCAGGCCAGCCCACGAACCCAGCGACAGGGCTCTCCCCGCGTTCCCCAAGAGTCAAACAATCAAGTTCAACTCAGGAGCTGCGGCTCTCGCTCCGCGCGGAGCGACTCCGGGCTGCGCAGCGCACCGCGCGGGATTCCTTCCACCTGTCCGCGCGCCCGTCGGGGTGCGCCAGACCCCGCGCCCGCTTACTTTGCCGCTGTCGCTCACGCCGAGGAGGTGATCCCGCAGCACCTCCATGGGGCAAGTCCAGGTGGAGTGGATGAATGTCCCTCGGAAGATGTGCGCCAGGGACGGCATCGGGGCGGCACACATGTCAGCGGCGGCGCGCGGCGCGGGGTTCGCGAACCGAGGAGAGCGCACCCGGCGGAGGTGAGGCGAGGGGTCCCTGCGACTTGCGGGCTGCTGCTGGGCGCACCTGCTGGGGCCTCGGACTGCCCCCGCTTTCCCGAGCGACAGCCTGCCCCCTGCAGGCCGCGCCCAGGGGCGGGCTTCCTGCCTCCTCGATGCCAATAGGATTTTTCTCCTGTGACTTGGCTCCGCGCTCCCTTGGGGTGTGGTCTTTCTCTCCTCCCTGTGTTAGTTTTTGATAGGTTAACTCTTTGAGTTTCCAAAATCATCGCTCACAACGCAGTACTTTTAACCTCGGGTGGCTGAGTTACCGACCCAGGGGGGAGAGGAGAGGGAGATAAAGGAAGGGGCAGGAGGAGCCCAGGGTTCCAGCCCTGTTCCTTAGCTGGTCACTAAATTTGCTATCGCTCCCTGTCCCCCAGCCTCCTCCACCTTTCTTTATTGGCATACCTAGAGTTGCGTCTGCCTGCTTTCTCTTGCCCTTTAAACCTCGGGCTATTTGTGACCAAACCTTTTACGTTCTCAACCTGTAGCACTCTCAAGGTCTGAACGGGCACAAGTTCAGGAAAAGGTGGAAGGGTCAGTTGGAGCTGCCTGCTTTACCGACCAGTTTCATTTTCAGTTTCTGCAGGTTGCAGAATTTGTCCTAACCTGATGTTCTGAAAGCAACTCTTAACGGAATTACGGGGCCCTCCACCGGCAGAGGTTGATCTGTACCCCAAAGCCCCTCTCTCCCACCTTGAGGCCAGTGTTTTTGGCCCTTGTGTCCCTCCACAAACAATTCCATTTCCCGTCGTTCTCACACCTAAAATAAATGATTCTCTTTGATTCAATTCCACTTGTACCCGGGGAGGAAATTAAGTTCTCAAGCTGAGCGGCTAGGAATGGCAGTGTGGCATGGCGTGCTGGAAAGACCACCGGATTAGCAATTAATAGACTGTGGTCAAGGCAGCGAGCCTCGGAGTCTATCTTCATGTGTGAAAACGGAACTTAGACCGGGTGGTTGCTAAGACTGCTTCCAGATCGGCATTCTTTCCTCGTACTGCATTCACAAAGTCCTTCACTAAGTTCCTCCGGGAAGACCACCTGGTTTCCACTCATGCCTCACACATTCGACTCTTTCTGCCCCTAATGCCTCCTGAGGATCTCCACATGACTGGCTCGTCTCATCACTGGTTTGCCTCCAGTGTAGCTCTCCCGGGTAACCTTCCCCCACCACCAAACTAGTAGCAACACCCCACCCCCGAAATTTCTATTCCATCAATTCATCTTGTTTCTGCCATTGTATTTATCATATCCATCCTCATATATGTCATGTGTTTTCATTTATTTCTGCCCCTCTTGCCCCAACACACAGAGAGTAATGGAAGCACCACAAGACCAGGGCTCTTATGCCTAGAACCCTGCTTGGTGTTTCAAACATATTTATTGAATAAATGTATGAATAGTTTTTGGGGGGAGCAGAGCAATAACCTGAGATAAATATCTATTCTGGGTCCTACCTACAGGATAAGGGTTTCTCGTTTCAGGGCATGAGTGGGCTTTCTCTGAATTGTCACCATTATGACACAGGGCTAGTTTACATAAATGATTCATTCCGTTCTCAGCTCCCTCACCTCAAGGAAACTCTGCAGTCCAGGGCGCACTGAGGTGGCCAGTCACCCTACCGAGGAATCAGAATTGGGAAGCCCTGAAGCTAAGAACATTGCACTTGCTTCTTGAGGTGGCCGTATTAGCTCTTTCTCCTTATCGTTGTCTCCTGATTCTGCAGACTTTGCTCCCTCCTTGTAGTTCCAATGGCCAACACAGTGAAAACAGCCTCTTGACCCTAGGCTTGTCTACCTACGAACCTCAGAAAGAAAAGTGAAGAAAAGGTCTGTGTCTTTGTTTAAAAAAGGAGTCAATTAAGTGTTTCCAAAAGAGGTATTGGTTCCCTAAAACAGATGCAGCTAATTTTTTTTTTTAATGAAAGCAACCTGAGTGACCAACAATAGAGACTAGTTTAGTAAATTAGAATCCATTTACTCATTAGACTATTATGTAGTTGTTAAAAATGGGGGAACTGTGTAGCCACATGGGCGTTGCATATAATAAAATGGTAAGCTTTTTAAAATGTCATTTATGCTCTGGTTAAAATCATGAAAAACCTATAGGCATAGAGGCTAGAATTTCAAAGTGGATCTAAACAGTGGGTAGCATTCTACTGAGGAAATGGAATTGCTAGGGAGTTTTGTCCTGATGTTTGTTGACGTTGTTATGTGTGGCTTATGGAACAAGTAATTATTGTGTAGCTTTAAATAAAGTTCATCTTAAACAGAAGGAATGGTCATGGGCCTCCAGGGGACACAGCATTAGCACTCCTTGGGGGTTAGCTCTTCCAAGCAGTACTCTCCCAATTCAATTCCCAGCCAAGTTGCAGGCACTGCACTTAGGATACGGTAGCCTCAGTTCAGCCAGGTGTCAGGAAATCTTGGCTTCCCAACTATTCTCATGTGTTTACCACCCTCGTCCTTTACTTTGCTGGTCCCCCTGCAGTTTTGACTCCCATCTTGGTATCCCCTGGGAAATGTTCTCAAGGCCACGGAAGTTTGGAGGAAGAAAGGAGTGTGGAGCTTTTATATTCACCTTTGAAACATGGCCCAAGCACATCACAAGGCAGCTTCTGGTTAATATGGTTATTCTGACTCGGCAAAGCATGTCCTGTGCTTCTAAAGTCTCAAGGAAATAGCAGTTTCTCTTCTTCAGCTCCTTCTATAGCCCACGTTTATATTCATGCCATATTAGAACTGAAAGGACCTAAGAAGTTAGTGTTCAATGTGCATTTCCCTGCTATTTCTTCATATCACTATTCTGTCAGCAATGGCTCGTTTCAACCCTCACCAACTCAGTTTCTCAAAAGGAAATCCAACAACGGTATGCACTTTCAGGGCCCTACCACACGTATCACCTCCTTCCAAAGAAAAGAGACGCTCCTTGATATGGAGGCTTCCTGAAGCCCTCCCTGCTTCTTCGGGCTCTTCTCCCTCCAGTATCCCACATACTGTGCATCTGCTTTGCTCACGATCTCTGCCTGCAGCGCCCTTAAGCCACCTTACACCGCGCCTGCCTTATTCTACTACCCACTCTCCCCTGGCTAAATCCTTCAGCTTAATTGCCCATTCCCAACCCCTTCCAGAACATCTTTACACCTCCTCGCTCTCTCTCAGGTACTAAGTGCTCCTTCTCTGAGTTTGTGGGGTGCTATAATTGTTCCTTTATTATTTATCTCCACCAGAAGATTGTGTTCTACTTAAGGACCATGTCTCCTTCCTTTCTTTCTCTGTATCCCCTTAACATAGTGCCTGGCCAATAGGAGGTACTCAATAGACTTATATAAATATTGGATCTCAAGTGATGGCTCTATTGCCTATATTTTAGTGATTAAAAAAATCTATAGGGGCGCCTGGGTAGCTCAGTCATTAAGTGTCTGCCTTCGGCTCAGGTCATGATCCCAGGGTCCTGGGATCGAGCCCCACATCGGGCTCCCTGCTCGGCAGGAAGCCTGCTTCTCCCTCTCCCACTCCCCCTGCTTGTGTTCCCTCTCTCGCTGTGTCTCTCTCTGTCAAATAAATAAAGAAAATCTTTAAAGAAAATCTATAGGGGGGTGTGCTAATGGTGATCAATTCATTAGGACTAAAAGTTAAGAAAGAGTTTCATTTCGCTTAGTTTTCCAACATTTTATTATGACAATTTTCAAATACATAGAAAAGTTGAACAGCTTCATTTCTCAAGATCACAATTCTCCCTACTTTAGATGTAGCCAGGTGATCTCAAACCCCCACAACTACTGGGAGGGACCAGTGTATTCTGAACCTCTAACTGCCTGAGGCAAATGACAGGAGCATATCATGATCAGTTTCGACATTTTGGTCACTTTATTCGTATAATTATACCCGTAGCTAGTCAATCTCTCCTGCTAGACAGAACTTGACTACTGAAAAATGCTTTCTCTTCCACGATCTTATTCTGAGCCTCACAACAATCTTATAAAGTAGGAAGAGGATATATATATATATTTTTTAAAGATTTTCTTTATTTATTTGACAGAGAGATACATAGCGAGAGAGGGAACACAAGCAGGGGGTGTGGGAGAGAGAGAAGCAGGCTTCCTGCGGAGCAGGGAGCCGGATGAGGGGCTCGATCCCAGGACCCTGGGATCATGACCTGAGCTGAAGGCAGCCGCTCAACGACTGAGCCACCCAGGTGCCCTGGAAGAGGATATATTTTAACCATTTCAGAGATGGAGAAACTGAGGTTCAGGGGAGTTGGCCTGTCTATCTAGTTAGTATAGGATGGACCTGGCTCTTGACTCTAGTTGCTCTCACACATTGTCTCATCCCAGTAGACTGCAAAGAATTTTCCATTCAATTTTGCCATGACTATGTCGGTGCACTGTGGGTTGTCATTTACAACTTTCATATTACACGTGCTTTTCCAACAGTTGCAGTGACACACAGATCTACCCCAAAGTGAAACCAAAGTGGGACCAATAGACCTCAGGGAGAACAATCCAATCAGCGCAGGTCAGTAAAATGATGCAGGGCACAGGTCAGTAAAATGAGGCAGGGAGTAACTCATGTTTTCATGAGGCACAGAGAGTGAAGGACAGGCAGGTTAAATGAGAAGCCACTTTCCTCTTCCAGGCAAGAGAGAAGTTGTCACTGCACAGTGAAATAAATGCCTGCCTATTTTATTTATTCTTCTTGTGTAGCTAAATCTATCAGTTTCCATGGTGCCCCATGTTCACCATGGAAACTCTGACAAGCTTGTTATGCTTTAGAGAAGAAAAAAAAGGCACACCAAAAATCTGAGATGGGATAAATGCATTCCTTTTAAAACTGTGTTCTTCTGAGTAGGAAGCCTTGATGGATAGCAAGTCATAATGATCTTGATTTTCCAGTTCTTAAGTGGGAACGCAGGTTTGCATTCCCACCAAAGGAGCACCCTTGGCCCCCCAAAACTACTTTATCTGTGCAGCAATAGGTTATGCCTGTGAGTATCTCACTTCTGCATTTCCTGGCAACAGAAAGATGGCTCAGTC